TGTTATTTTCACTATAATATGCATCATTACATGCACTATCCTGATATAGACATTTCTGTACACACCATTTGGATGGAGAACCGCACCTTAAAATTTGCAGGAGTCTAGCACTTGTTGTTTCTGGAAGTGTGACTTAGGAAGATTTGCCTTTAAGGGTGACCTTAAATCCAATTTCAGTAGCTGCCTGTCCCATTCATTTCCAAAAACCCGTTTAGCTTGAGACACAACGAAAGCACGAAAGAACTCTGTGCAACATGGGAATAAGTGACCCTTCTCAACAACCACTTTGAGCCCTATCGCAAACTGTTGTCTGTCTCCAACCTCCTTATGAGGGAGGCATTTCCTACTTAACCCAATCCTGGCCTCCTCAACGTTTTTCCTTTTTCTGTACCATCTCACCTTGGGAGCATTGTTTGCAGCGCAGATTTCTGAAGAGGCACTTTGTTCTTCTGGGCCGCTCATAGCTGCCCATTGCACAATGTGACCATCATGCGCCGCCTCACAATAGGGACTTTCAGAACTCAATGAATAGGGAATGCGCCCTGCCTGGGCAACGCTTTGTTGAGAAGTCTGTGTAGCATGAGATAATTGTGGTGCCTCTTCTGCTGCCAGACTCTTGTCAGATCACAGACTGTTCCATCTCTTAAATGCAATTCTCCAGCTGCTGGAATATTCCTGCATCATCTCTTGATCGTATAGTTTGGTTTCCTTACACCTGACCGCAGCACCTTGGGCTAAATCTGTTCACTAAGAGAAGGCCAAGCCCACAGAGGTTTTGCACATTGTTTATGCACTGGTGTCTCCAGTTTAAAGGCTCTTGGGTAAAAACATGACCTGATTCTGCTGGATCAAGCCAATAATAATAATAATAATAATAATAATAATAATAATAATAATAATTTATTATTTATACCCCGCCCATCTGGCTGGGTTTCCCCAGCCACTCTGGGCGGCTTCCAAAAGAATATTTAAATACTGTGATACATCAAACATTAAAAGCTTCCCTAAACAGGGCTGCCTTCAGATGTCTTCTAAAAGTCAGATAGTTGTTGTTCTCTTTGACATCTGGTGGGAGGGCGTTCCACAGGGTGGGCGCCACTACCGAGAAGGCCCTCTGCCTGGTTCCCTGTAACTTGGCTTCTCGCAGGGAGGGAACCGCCAGAAGGCCCTCGGCGCTGGACCTCAGTGTCTGGACCATTTAGTCCATTGTCCTGTTCTTACAGTGGCCAAACACATGCCTGTGAGAAGCAGTGACTACATTATTACATGAGCACTGTTCCACAGCATTTGATATTTTCATTTGCATACATACATTAATAATAATAATAATAATAATAATAATAATAATAATAATAATAATAATATTTATTATTTATACCCCGCCCATCTGGCTGGGTCCCCCCAGCCACTCTGGACGGCTTCCAGCAAAACACTAAAATACAATAACCTATTAAACATTAAAAGCTTCCCTAAACAGGGCTGCCTTCAGATGTCTTCTAAAAGTCAGATAGTTGTTTTTCTCTTTGACATCTGGTGGGAGGGCGTTCCACAGGGTGGGCACCACTACCAAGAAGGCCCTCTGCCTGGTTCCCTGTAACTTGGCTTCTCGCAGGGAGGGAACCGCCAGAAGGCCCTTGGCGCTGGACCTCAGTGTCTGGGCAGAACGATGGGGGTGGAGACGCTCCTTCAGGTATACAGGACCGAGGCCGTTTAGGGCTTCAAAGGTCAACACCAACACTTTGAATTGTGCTCGGAAACGTACTGGGAGCCAGTGTAGGTCTTTCAAGACCGGTGTTATATGGTCTCGCCGGCCGCTCCCCGTCGCCAGTCTAGCTGCCACATTCTGAATTAATTGTAGTTTCCGGGTCACCTTCAAAGGTAGCCCCACATAGAGCGCATTGCAGAAGTCCAAGCGAGAGATAACTAGAGCATGCAGCACTCTGGCGAGGCAGTCCACGGGCAGGTAGGGTCTCAGCCTGCGTACCAGATGGAGCTGGTACACAGCTGCCCTGGACACGGATTTAACCTGTGCCTCCATGGACAGCTGTGAGTCCAAAATGACTCCCAGGCTGCGCACCTGGTCCTTCAGGGGCACAGTTACCCCATTCAGGACCAGGGAGTCTTCCACACCTGCCCGCCTCCTGTCCCCCAAATAAGATGAAATAAGATGCTTCATAAACGCATCTTTGAAATAAGATTGGTTTATGAAGCAATTCTATATCCTCCCACCACACTGACGAAGAATTTTATGAAACAGTAGTCAATATCTGGAATCACTGTTCAGTGTTGGACATCATATTTGCTGAATACACAAAGCTTCACAGCTTGTCTTTCATCGTACGAAGTCTGGTACCTCGCTTCAGTTAAAGATTTTCAGAGACTTTGAGACTGAAGATTTCATTTTGAACTTGTTATGGTTTGAAGGAATTCTATAAAGATTGCCTATTGCATATGTACATGGTCATCGTGTTGACTAGACATGGCTGACTTTCTCTTTGCAACACAGGGGTTTGTTTGGTTACTTATTGCTGTACCTGGGATTCTCAGCAAAGGCATGATGCAGAAGAAGAGGATGGGGTAAGGCCTAGTACACACAAGTAGGACCATTTCTCCCAAATAAATGACTGTGCATTGGCTGCACTATGAAGGAACTGTTTGCAAAGGTCCACAATTCCCTCACTAGTTACGGTACTCTGTACATGCTCAGTGGACATTTGTTATGTGTTTGCCTACTTTAGGAATGGGACGCGGGTGGCGCTGTGATTAAACCACAGAGCCTAGGACTTGCCGATCAGAAGGTCGGAGGTTCGAATCCCCGCGACAGGATGAGCTCCCATTTCTCGGTCCCTGCTCCTGCCAACCTAGCAGTTCAAAAGCACGTAAAAGTGCAAGTAGATAAATAGGTACCGCTCCGGCGGGAAGGTAAATGGCATTTCCGTGTGCTGCTCTGGTTCGCTTAGTCATGCTGGCCACATGACCCGGAAGCTGTACGCCAGCTCCCTCAGCCAATAAAGCGAGATGAGCGCCGCAACTCCAGAGTCGGTCACAGCTGGACCTAAGGGTCAGGGGTCCCTTTACCTTTACCTTTACTTTAGGAATGGAACCTGCTGCTCGAAAACTCCCACGCCCATCCTCCCCAACATTTTTGCCCCCAAATTGGGATGTCAGGAGGGGCACTCGTCTGGTACTCGTCGGCAGGATTGCACCAGAGCTAGCATACAGCTACTGCTCATCAGTGCTCATCAGCAGACTTGTGCCAGTGTGATCACCAGAACAAAAAACAGGGCATTCCAGGATCCCGACTGAAGCCTGAATTGGCTTCTGTGATCTGGGATGGCCACTCGAGGGGTATGCATACTCCCACAACTACTACAGTTGTACCTTGATTGTCGAACGCCCTGGAACACAGACGTTTTGGCTCCCGGAAGTGACTGTTCTGGTTTCTGAACATTCTTTTGGAAGCCAAACATCCGACGGGGCTTCCGATTGGCTGCAGGAGCTTCCTGCAGCCAATCGGAAGCTGCAATTTGGAAGTCGAATGCTTTGGAAGTCAATCGGACTTCCGGAATGGATTCCATTTGACTTCCAAGGTATGACTGTACTTCCCAGTGGTGCAATTGCATGACATTTGGAGCGCAAGTGACTTAAAGCAGCCACACGTGGCAAATCATTCTTCCTTAACAGGATAGGAAAAACTGGCGCACAGCCCCACCCACTCCCACATGCCGCTGTGCATGGGAACCAGAGCTAAAGTGTAGGTCCAAGGATGTTGCAACAGCCCCGTTGAGCAGATGTAGAAAGCCTTCCCAATCCAATGGTGATTTGGACTTGCTTCTGCTGAGCTGAGCGGGTGTTTCACAAGAGCAGCATGCCCTGTAAGCTCACAGAGAGAGTAGGCCCAAGTCACTGGGGAAGTGCTACCCAACTTGTGCTAGGTGCAAGGAATCAATCCTTCACTGTGGTTGCAAGTACACTCTGGAACTCCCTGCCCATTGATACTAGATGGGTGTCTTTGCTGTACTGGTTTCAGCACCTGCTAAAAACGTTGTTTAGGCGAGCCTACACACACATGCAAATTTGGCATGCAGTTTAAAATGTTTTTTTAAGTGTGTGTGTGTGTGTATGTGTGTGTGTGTGCGTGCAAAATGGCTGATCTTATTTATATTTATAAGCCAACTTGTTTTTAACATCTGATTTAATTGGTACATTTTAATGTCTATTTAATGTGAAGCATTTAGAGGTTTTGAGGATTAAGCGCTATAGAAATCCTGTTTAAAGAAAATACAGTGGTACCTTGGTTTGCATACGTTTTGGTTTGCATACGTTTTGGATTACGAACACATCAAACCTGGAAGTGCGTGTCCTGGTTTGCAACCTTTTTTTTGATTACAACCCATTTTTTTTGGATTACGAACAAAAACATTTTGGACGCCCCATTGGCGAAAGCGCGCCTTGGGTTACAACTTGTTTTGGTTTACAAATGGACCTCCGGAATGGATTATGGTTGTAAACCAAGGTACGACTGTAAACGGGCAAGAAGTGTTTTATGTAGATGAAGCCCTGCACTTTAAAAAGAGTAATGGAATCTTAGAGTTGGAAGGGACCCGGGGGTCATCTAGTCCAACCCGCTGCAATGCCGGAATCTCAGCTAAAGCATCCATGACAGATGGCCATCCAACCTCTGCTTCTAAACCTCAAAGGAAATAATAATTCAAAAGGTCTACACTGCAGCCAGCATAACAGAAAATATTTGAGTACTAGGGCATTCTGCAGAAAATCCTGTTGTTAAAAAAGCATTTAAAATGACAGGATGAATCAACGCAGACTTAGCCCAGGATGAGTAAAAGAAAAAAAAAAGAATTTAAATCAACAAATGGTTTTGCTTTCACATACAGCAGACAGAAGATTCTCTTTTATTTTAGACCCTCTGTAAAATCAGAGCAATAAAATGTAGGAGTCCCCTCTCGCCCGCCTCCCTCCCTCCCTCCCTCCCTCCCTGCGCATGCCATCATACCCAGCCAACTTAATTAGCAACTTCGGAGTAATCGTGGTAATGAGCTAAGTCAGCGAAAATGTCGTTGGGGCTCTTGCAGCTCAGGTTGCAAAAGCAGGCGTTGATCCACATGACTTTCTTGGAGAACCCGGTCCCATCCGGGCACTCGAAGCTCACGTCGATGGTCTTCGACTTGTACGGAGTACAGCAGCGATTGTCCACACAGACGCCGCAGTATTTCGGCCAGTAAGCTGCCTTGCTCACGCATCCAGACAGAGTATAGTTCATCAGCTCCTGCCTCCTGTACACAGCTAAGCATTTCTTTCCAGGCTAGAAACAACATGAGAGAGAGATGATAGCAATCAACTTGACCGATTAAACATTTTTATTTACGCTTCCAGTAATAATAATACTCATAATAATTTATTACTTCTACCCCGCCCATCTGGCTGGGTTTCCCCAGCCACTCTGGGCGGCTTTCAACAGAACATTAAAAACAGAACAAAACTTTGAAAACAGAATAAAACTTCTCCAAGAACTACGAGGAGGTTGGAAAGTGCTAGAAACTCTCAGCTCTCTTCATCGCTGACCAATGGCCATGCTGGCTGGGACTTATGGGAGCTAAAGTCCAACAACATCTAGAGGTTTACAGGTAGACTATCCCTGGGTTATGCATGTCAAGTTGATTGATTACGCATGACCCCGCTAATTGGATTTACGATCCCCAATTAGCTCTTTATGGCAGATCTGGCAGGTCCGGCACACTTCCTCTGAGCGCCTCTGCTCCTTTTGCCGCTCCAGTCACGCCGTAGCAGAGTTAACACAGCGGGAAAGCTATCACGTCCTTTGACAAACACACAGAGTACAGGTTTGTCTATTTACAGTTGTTTATTCCAACAATTCTCCGGAAAATCCAGGACTACTTGCAGCCATGACAAACTGCGTCCTTTCCCCTCACAGCACAGAGAGGAACAGCAAACTCCTCCCAAACTCCTCCCAGCTTCGAAAGCTGACGTCAGAATGTTGTGGCATCATGGGAACAACTTAACCTGTTAAGTTCCAAACTCCACACCCCCCCCTTGCCGCACATTCTGACAAGACCTTTTTGAGTTCAACACCTTTCCCTTTGCCTTGTGCCTCTTTCCGGCATCTTTCCCAGGCACCTGTTGAACCCTTTCAACACTCCCAGAATCACACTGTGCGAAACTTACCCACGCACTTGTGGCCTGATACCTTTCAGGTGAAATACCCTTTGTTGTGCGACTGGACCTTCTGGGCACAAACTCAGATGTTATCTCTGACTCACCGCCACCAGTAGGTGTGTCCTCAGCATCACGGGATTCCCCCTCTGACTTAAAGCATTTTCGAATCCTCTCCATTACACTCACAGGAGAACTGGGCTCGCTTTTGGGTGTTCTCTTAACATCTTGTGGAGAAGCTACAGATACCCCTCCTGTTCCTGACTTTGGTCAGTGACTTGATCGTCATCATCGGATTCTGAACCCTGATCGTGGACCTGGTCCTCATCACCGGGATCAGCCTCTGCCTCCCTTTCCTCCTCAGAATCAGATAGACATTCTGAGAGCACATCACGCATGACAGCAGTTTTTGACCTTTTATTCTGCTCATAGAACTCAGCGTGTCTACTGATCAGCACCTTACTCTGATCACCTGATGGATATGCAAACCTCCATGCACGTGCTTCTGGCTCATACCCGCAGAAGATCATTTTCCGGAACTTGGATCCATCTGGCCCCTGCAAAGCAGTAGGTACCGGCACAGATGCACTTGCACCAAACATACGCAGAAAATGAACTTGGGGTTTCCTGCCATGCAACAACCCAAAGGGTGTGTCACCTACTAGTGAATTGTAGGTACGATTCCAGGTGAAGCCCACATACTTGATTGCCTCCAGCCAAAACCTTGGAGGTAACCCAGAATCTGCCAGCATCACCTGTGCAGCCTTAACTAGAGCCTCACTTCTCAGCTCTGCCACCCCCCTCTGATTGGGTGAAGTCACTGTGTGACGTATCCCTTTCTTGTGAAAGAACTTCTGCAAAGCAGACCCTGTAAACTGAGCTCCTCTGTCACTGGTGACTGCTTGCACTCTGGTGGAAAACCTTTGTTCCACCTCCTCAATCCATCCTTTGATCAGCTGTGCTGCATCATCCTTGGATTTGAGACCATGGGTCCAGGTGTTCTGCGTAAAATTATCCTGCACCGTCAGCAGAAACCTTGCACCTCCCAGACTCGCCTCCCTTACAGGACCCCACAAATCTATGTGGACCAGTTCAAAAGGTTTTGTGGTTACCCTCTCCACTTTTGGATAACTGCATCCTTTTACCTTTGCCAGTTTGCAAGTTTCACATTTTACAGCACATCCACATTCTGTAATTTCACAACCTTTGGAAACCTCAGGCAGCACCTGTAGTTCTTCTAGAGAACCATGAGCTGGTTTTGCATGCCACGCATGTGCACATGTCACATGATTGTTGATTTCAGCACGTAGAGCCTGTGCTTTCCCAACCTTCCCCTCACCCTCCAGAGGTGATTTAAGAATAAAGAGATCATTCTGCCCCTTTTTAACCTTGGCAAATATCCTCCCTCCTTTGGAGATTGTGCAGACAGCATCTTCGAAACAAACCTTAAACCCCGTTTTCAACAAATAAGGCACAGATAAAAGACAGTGGTGCATCCCAGGAACGGTACAAAATTCCAACGTCTCCTGTAAAACAGAAACATGCACATGTACAACATTAGTTACATTCTTTTTCTGCCCATTTGCAAAGAGTACAGTTTTCCCAGCTGGAATTGCCTTGCAATTCCACATCTCGACAGTAGGGGTCTCTGGAATCAAATTGCAGTTCGCTGCAGAGTCTATTACAAAACAAAGCTCTGAGCCTGTCTCACAGCTGTCCTCAAACAAAGCCAGACTGGCCGTGAGTTGATAAGCCTCCTCACGTTGTTTTCCACGTCCTTCTCTTGCATTCCCACGCTGGCCTCCTCTTCCAGACTGGTTACCATGGAAACCCGACTGATTCCCATGGAAGGTGTCCTTGAAGTCTTCCTGTGCAGCTGCCCTCGCTCTCTGTGGGCAGCCTCTTTTGAAATGGCTGTTGGATCCACACACATAGCACCGACGAGTGGAAAAAGCCTGAACAGAGCTCTCATCTGGCCTGGCCCCCCCCTTGCGTCCGGTGGAGCTGCTTGCGCCAGACTTGCTCTCCCTTTCCAAAGCAGTATAAGCTTCATGCGCAGTGTCCAAACCCTCCACAAGGGGCAACTGTGAGCCCTCCAAACTGAGCACTATAGCTCCCAGGGCTTTCTGATTTTTTCTCTGCGAAGCATGCGCATTTGCAATGTCTGCAGCCGAAGCTCCGGCGGCTGGTGGAGGCAGTGGAGGCCCTAGGACCGCCTCCCACAGACCCTTGGCTACCAGCCAGGCCTTCAGCTTTCGACTCCATTCCGCCCAATTCTGGCCGTTTAACTTTTCGAAAGGCACGGAGAATGAATCATGGCCGTCCGCCATCTTCTTCCGTTCTCCCAAGGGGCCCCAAGCTCACTCACCAGCTTATCCGGCACCCGTCCGTGGAGAAACGATTCCTTGCTGCTCTCAGCTCTCAGCTCCGCAGCTCTCTTAGCAACAGGCAAAAATCTCACCACCTCCTGCCCCAGCTCCTTTGCTCTGAACCGCAAACTTGAAAGCGTCCCGGCAGCCTCCAGTGATAGCTTTACGATCGGTGATTAAGGTTACCCATAACCTGTCAAGTTGATTGATTACGCATGACCCCGCTAATTGGATTTACGATCCCCAATTAGCTCTTTATGGCAGATCTGGCAGGTCCGGCACACTTCCTCTGCGCGCCTCTGCTCCTTTTGCCGCTCCAGTCACGCCGTAGCAGAGTTAACACAGCGGGAAAGCTATCACGTCCTTTGACAAACACACAGAGTACAGGTTTGTCTATTTACAGTTGTTTATTCCAACAATTCTCCGGAAAATCCAGGACTACTTGCAGCCATGATAAACTGCGTCCTTTCCCCTCACAGCACAGAGAGGAACAGCAAACTCCTCCCAAACTCCTCCCAGCTTCGAAAGCTGACGTCAGAATGTTGTGGCATCATGGGAACAACTTAACCTGTTAAGTTCCAAACTCCACAATGCAGTCTTCCTTCCCAGTTGCAAAACCCCTTGATTAAAACCACAAGTCCCAGAATCCTCTGTGCCCCCATGTCAGGGACCGTGCTGAGGAGGGCTGCACTGAGGAGGACTGGTAGGACCCTCTTCCTCCTCCTCCTCCTCCTGCTCCGGATCCTGAAACTTCCCACAGTATAGATTTAGAATAGCGGTTTGCAGAGGGACATAGTTCAGAAGGCAGAAGCTGGGAAGTACTGGATGGGGAACAGCTAGGAGGAGAAGAACTGGGAGAGAGAGAGTTAACAGACTCACTGTCGCTGAAAAGCATTCATCTGCTCAGCCCAAGGTCAAGAAGAGCAGATAAGGTGGCAGCACAGAAAGCACAGTGGTTGTGAGATCAGGTTACAAGACGCAGTAGTGACGTGGGTGACTAGGGAGGAAGTGGGTGAAACCCTTAATTAGGAGCACCGTCATTCCTAGCAATGGATTCTTCGTTCTCTCTCTGTGATCATCAAAGTTTCTAACTGGTAAGAGACTCCTTTCTCTTTGTTCTGCTTATCTACTTCCAAGGGGGCGGGGAGGAAGCTGATTTCCTGAAGCCTGATACCCCATCATGTTGTCCATCTCTTTGGACAGGACAGAGCTGCAATTGGATAGCCTAAGTAAATAAGAGACGCGGGTGGCGCTGTGGGTTAAACCACAGAGCCTAGGACTTGCCGATCAGAAGGTCGGCGGTTCGAATCCCCGCGACGGGGTGAGCTCCCATTGTTCTGTCCCAGCTCCTGCCAACCTAGAAGTTTGAAAGCACGTCAAAGTGCAAGTAGATAAATAGGTACCGCTTCGGCGGGAAGGTAAACGGCGTTTCTGTGCGCTGTTCTGGTTCGCCAGAAGCGGCTTAGCCATGCTGGCCACATGACCCAGAAGCTGTACACCAGCTCCCTTGGCCAATAAAGCGAGTTGAGCACCACAACCCCAGAGTCAGCCACGACTGGACCTAATGGTCAGGGGTCCCTTTAGCTTTAAGTAAATAAGTAAGTGACCACTCAGGTCTCAAACACCCGGGAAGGGAATGCGGAAAAACACTAGAAGCCAAGGACTTAGAAATGGCATCATCTGGAGATGCCATAAAAAGTGAATGGCTGTTCCGGAGAAATTGTGGGAGCTTCTTGTGGATGGATGGGGAAACAAGAGCAATCCTACAAGCAGTACCTTAATGTGCTTAATGTGGTGAAGCAAGAGCAACAAGGAGGATTTCTGCCTGTATCATCCCATACCTTAATGTGCTTGGCGATGTCCTCTTCGCATGGGCGCATGTTACAGAGCCGGCTCTCTTTTGTCAGACGGCACTGGTCATTCTCGTTCGAGATTCTTTGGGACGTGCCCATCCCACAGGTCTTCGAGCAGGGACTCCAGGAAGAGGTGTGGAGGATGCAGTTTTTCTGCCACGACTCAATTTCCCCTTCGTAAACTGTAAAAGAAGAGGAACATGTGGCATTAGGTGAGCTTATGCACCAGCCTCAGGAATGGCCCAGAGTTCCCTGTGAAGAGGAATTGGCTGTTAAACCACTCTAATTGAAAAAAACACATAAATGTAATAGGCCGTATAGTAACAATTGCAAAGCTATTTACTAGAAACTATTTCTCAAAAGGGGACGCGGGTGGCGCTGTGGGTTAAACCACAGAGCCTAGGACTTGCTGATCAGAAGGTCAGCGGTTCGAATCCCCGCAACGGGGTGAGTTCCGTTGCTCAGTCCCTGCTCCTGCCAACCTAACAGTTCAAAAGCATGTCAAAGTACAAGTAGATAAATAGGTACTGCTCCGGCGGGAAGGTAAACGCCGTTTCTGTGCACTGCTCTGGTTCGCCAGAATCAGCTTAGTTATGCTGGCCACATGACCTGGAAGCTGTACGCTGGCTCCCTTGGCCAATAAAGCGAGATGAGCGCCGCAACCCCAGAGTCGGTCACGACTGGACCTAACGGTCAGGAGTCCCTTTAGCTTTACCTTTGCTTCTCAAAAATTAGATACAGCTTCTTATAATATCAAAATCAACATCGTGACATAATATATTAGAATGTAGCTTTCCAGTTGACCACCAAGTCCAGTATGTACAAAATACAAGTCCTATATTGTCAGTGCCGTAGTACATTCTTTTCTAATTTCTTCATCTTCTCTTGTATTTTCCTGTCGTATTACTTAGAAGAGTGGCATGAAATAATCTTCTAAGTGTCTAATGAAGAGGATTGGGTTGGCAGACAAAAGAACCTGGCACTAATGGATGCTGGCACAGGCAGACGAGACAAGGATTCCTGGATATTCCCCTGTTTCGCCCGAAAGGGCTTCATCAGCTGTGCATAGTTCTAAATCATATTAACATAGATGCTTTGTAATATAAATAGCTACACAAATTCCAAAGTAACATAGGTAAAAGTAAAGGGACCCCTGACCATTAGGTCCAGTCATGACCGACTCTGGGGTTGCGGCGCTCATCTCACTTTATTGGCCGAGGGAGCCGGCGTACAGCTTCTTGGTCATGTGGCCAGCATGACTAAGCCGCTTCTGGAGAACCAGAGTAGCACACGGAAACACCGTTTATCTTCCCGCCGAGCGGTACCCATTTATCTACTTGCACTCTGGCGTGCTTTCGAACTGCTAGGTTGGCAGGAGCAGGGACCGAGCAATGGGAGCTCACCCCGTCGCGGGGATTCGAACCGCCGACCTTCTGATCGGCAAGTCCTAGGCTCTGTGGTTTAACCCACAGCGCCACCCACGTCCCCTAAAGTAACATACAAAGATATAAAAACATACATACCGGTACTATGTATATATAGGTATTCTGGTGGTTTTGGGTTTTTCTTTTTTCTTTCTGTTAAACCACTCTGGCAATTGTGGCTCTGTGAGGGGACCCAGGGTCTCCTAACAGCTCACAGCACCCTTAAAGAACTACAGTTCCTAGGATTCTTTGGGGGGGGGGGTAGCCATGTCTGCTTAAAGTGGTATGATGCTTGTTTAAATGTACAGTGGATGCTCGGGTTGTGAATATGATCCATGTGGGATGCACGTTCGCAACCCCCAGCTTTTGCAACCCGCCTCTGCGCATGCATGGGTTGCGATTCTGCGCTTCTGCGCATGCGCAAAGCATGATTTAGCACTTCTGCGCATGCACGACCACCGAAACCTGGAAGCAATCTGTTCCAGTAGGTTTTGGTGGTCCGTAACCCAAAAAAACGCAACCTGAAGTGTCTGTAACCCGAGGTATGACTGTATAGTGCAAATGAGGCATTAAATGTGAGCTAGATGAATCAGTGGTCTGCCCTTGTATAATACAGCTTTTCTACCTTTTTCCCTGCTGGAGGAAAACCACCTTGGAAGGGCAAATGTTGAGCTGGAAAAGGGCCAGCAGGTAAAAAATTAAGCACCTCTTCTCAATTCCCTCCAAGCCCAGCCCTCAAGTGTCTGTTGGTTTTGATTTGTTGTGTTTTCGTTGCAGAGAAAGGGTGGAACAAGCTATACCTGGAACTCCATGCTGCAGGGAGTTTGCCCCTAAAAGCTGTGGGGAGCTTCCTTCGAAGTCTTAGAAAGTTGCCCCTCCTCACGTGCTCCACACACAAACACACACACCGCCAATACCTGCAGAGGAGATGTGCCGTGGGGAGGTCTTTCTGATTTTCTTGGAGTCGTCGCAGACCCACTGTTCACAGCATTGCCCCTTCAACTTAATCAGTTTGGGGTTGGGGCACCAAACGAGGGGTGGCTTGGAGTCTCTGCAGGTGGGGAAGCAGCCCACCGCTCCTCCGATACAGGTGCAATTGTACTTGCAATTGGGCTGGAAGGACTGTCCGTTCTTGTACCTCACCCCATCGAGGATGCAGTCGAGGCCGACAATTTCTACAAAAGGAAGAGGGGAAATGCAGAGAGAGAGAGAGAGAGAGAGTGTTTCAAAAGCCCAGGCTCACATGACATCTGATATCACAGCAGCAATCAGGTTTTGAATACACAGATTTTCCTTCCTTCCTTCCTTCCTTCCTTCCTTCCTTCCTTCCTTCCTTCCTTCCTTCCTTCTTCTTTCTTTCTTTCTTTCTTTCTTTCTTTCTTTCTTTCTTTCTTTCTTTCTTTCTTTCTTTCTTTCTTTCTTCCTTCCTTCCTTCCTTCCTTCCTTCCTTCCTTCCTTCCTTCCTTCCTTCCTTCCAACACAGCACCAGGCAAGGGCAGGTTATCTATTTACTTATAAGGGACGCGGGTGGTGCTGTGGTCTAAACCACAGAGCCTAGGACTTGCCGATTAAAAGGTCAGCGGTTCGAATCCCCGCGACGGGGTGAGCTCCCATTGCTCGGCCCCAGCTCCTGCCAACCTAGCAGTTAGAAAGCACATCAAAGTGCAAGTAGATAAATAGGTACCACTCCGGCGGGAACGTAAACGCCATTTCTGTGCGCTGCTCTGGTTCGCCAGAAGCGGCTTAGTCATGCTGGCCACATGACCCGGAAGCTGTACGCCGGCTCCCTCGGCCAATAAAGCGAGATGAGCGCCACAACCCCAGAGTTGGTCACAACTGGACCTAATGGTCAGGGGTCCCTTTACCTTTACCTTTACTTTTGTAAACTGCCCACTCCCTAAATTATCAAGGCATTGTACAATAAATTAAAACACTGCAATGTAAAATTGTAAAAATGCAGAAATAACATAAATTAGTCAAATTTTATGTTGTGAAGCACCCTGAGACCTACAGGTATAGGGCCTAACAACAGCAACAACAACAACACAGTCAAACCTTGGTTGTCAAACGTAATCCGTTCGGCTTCCGAAACATTCGACAACTGAGTCGCGGCTTCCGATTGGCTGAAGGAGCTTCCTGCACTCAAGTGGAAGTTGCACCAGACTTTCAGCTTCCGAAAAATATTCAAAAACCAGAACACTTGCAGTGTGGAGGGGGGGGGAGTATTTGATCCTAATGTTTGCCCTCTGATGAAGAAATGACCAGTCCATAATTTTAATGGTAGGTTTGTTGTAGCTGTGAGAGACAGAATAACAACAGGAATAACAACAGAATAACAACTGGTCATTTCTTCGTTAGAGGGCAAACAGGCAAATTTAGCAGGGGATCAAATACTTTTACCCCTCACTGTACTTCCAGGTTTTTTATATTCGGGAGCCAAAAAGTATGATAACAGAAGCGTTCAGGAACCGAGGTTTGACTGTAATAATAATAATAATAATAATAATAATAATAGCCAGTTTAATTTTCTAATTAAAATTCCTGCTCCATGGTTGCAGTCATGGGATTATTGTCTATCACATGACGGTATGTGTTTTGGCTCCACAGTGTGGGAAGTGACGGAGACAGGATGTTTGTGTTACTGTGTTCCATGAAGTGGGACTATTGTCCTTTGCTTTTTCTCTTTGCTGTCTGATGCTAGAGAGAGAGGGAGCCATGTTGCAGTGCTCCGTGTGCGTTTATATGTAAATAAAGTAAATTACCCAAAATGCTGAGTTGCTGAGGTCTGTCACACAAGCTGCAAAGACTCTGCGGATCCCTAAGTGTGCTGGTGTCGGTTGGCATCGGTTGCTGTGGTGTTCCGGCTGAAGAAAGCTTTTGAAGCTCCCAAACAATCGACCAGGAGGGAGGGAACATGCCAGTTGGGCATGTGTCTCTACCAGGGTCCTACTCGAGTGTAGGCTGAGCTCCTGACATGTAAGTACCCATCTGATTTACACAGATTTCTTTCTTCCCTGGAGAAAAGGAACTTCTTTACATAAGAACTGCCAGATTAAACCAAAACCTTCCTTCCTTCCTCAACAGCCAACCAGATGCCTATGGGAAGCCCAACAGGCAGAGCACGAGGGCAGTAGTTCATAGAATCATAGAGTTGGAAGAGACCACAAGGGCCATCGAGTCCAACCCCCTGCCAAGCAGGAAACACCATCAGAGCACTCCTGACATATGGTTGTCAAGCCTCTGCTTAAAGACCTCCAAAGAAGGAGACTCCACCACACTCCTTGGCAGCAAATTCCACTGTCCAACAGCTCTTACTGTCAGGAAGTTCTTCCTAATGTTTAGGTGGAATCTTCTTTCTTGTAGTTTGGATCCATTGCTCCGTGTCCGCTTCTCTGGAGCAGCAGAAAACAACCTTTCTCCCTCCTCTATATGACATCCTTTTATATATTTGAACATGGCTATCATATCACCCCTTAACCTCCTCTTCTCCAGGCTAAACATGCCCAGCTCCCTTAGCCATTCCTCATAAGGCATCGTTTCCAGGCCTTTGACCATTTTGGTTGCCCTCATCTGGACACGTTCCAGTTTGTCAGTGTCCTTCTTGAACTGTGGTGCCCAGAACTGGACACAGTACTCCAGGTGAGGTCTGACCAGAGCAGAATACAGTGGCACTATTACTTCCCTTGATCTAGATGCTATATTCCTATTGATGCAGCCCAGAATTGCATTGGCTTTTTTAGCTGCCGCGTCACACTGTTGGCTCATGTCAAGTTTGTGGTCAACCAAGACTCCTAGATCCTTTTCACATGTACTGCTCTCAAGCCAGGTGTCACCCATCTTGTATTTGTGCCTCTCATTTTTTAATTGTTTTTTTTGTTCTTTCTCTCTGTTGTTTCCCAGTTTGAAACTGGTATCCAGAGACATGCTACCCCTGATCATGTAAGGAGAATCTAATCATTGTGACTAGGAGCCAACGGCATTATCCTCTAGGAATGTTAAAGCCAGCGCCATTGGCACCTATAATAATAATAATAATAATAATAATAATAATAATAATAATAATAATACATTATTTATACCCCACCGCTTGAGGTGGCTCCCAACAGAGTTAAAAACACAACAGAACATCAAACATTAAAAACTTCCCTAGACAGGGCTGCCTTCAGATGTCTTCTAAAAGTCAGATAGTTGTTAATTTCCTTGACATCTGGTGGGAGGGTGTTCCACAGGGTGGGCACCCCTACCAAGAAGGCCCTCTGCCTGGTTCCCTGTAATCTCACTTCCTGCAGTGGAGGAATCACCAGAAGGCCCTCAGAGCTGGACCTCAGTGTCTGGGCTGAATGATGCTACAATGGTACATCTCCCACCTTTCAGTTTCATAGTTGGACCCCAGCTTCCAATATTATGAGGAAGGGAGAAATCCACATTCATGTGCTGTGCATATTTTTTATATTAAAAAAAACATTTAACTTGTCCCCTGTTAGTACTTGCCTGGTGAGATTCATGTGCTTTTACATGCAGTACCACACAGTACAACTTGGCTTAGTTACAGTGGTGAAAATTCCTAAATTATTGGTAAAGGAACACAATAATGGCTTGTAAAGGCCATGCGGTCTGAGCCTTGGAGCAACCAGCCCAGACCTCTTTACATGCAGGAATTCACACGGTAGACCGAAGGAACAATATATTGGCTTCCTTTCTCCCAAGGTGAGGGGAAGTGATCTAGCTAAGCCTGGCAGGACAGCTTACTCTATGGCATTAACCCCTTCATGAATTAATTAGACTTAAGCATGTTGGTTATCCCACACTTTTTAGCAACTCATTCGGAGCGAATGGCAATCTACTGGAAACCCAAATTTCCCTTTGTTCTGATTTGGCATTAAAGAGTGGGTTTTCCTGGGGTAAGCGGCGGGGGATGGGGAACCTCCAAAAAATGCTCAGATGCAGAGCTTTAAAAGTGAGGACTGTTATGTACTGAAGTTCTCACCCTGGGCCAGCAGGGGGATACTGTAGATAGTTCAGGTCCACATATGCAAATAAGGGATCGAAAGTGACGTTCAGTGATTGGATAGTTACAGAAAATGGTTACTGTTGCGTTCTAGTGGAGCTCTATATAAGCAGGCTGGCTGAACCCTTCAGTTCAGTTCTGTTCTGGCCTGTGAACAAACAAGAGCTGTTTGAAGAATCACTGTGTCGTCTGATATGTTCACCTACAACTTAAGAAGGACTATGCCTATAAAGTGTGGGGCAAAAGGTGGCTGTGGGTGAGCCCTTATACTGAGCCAAAGAATTGATCCCTCTAGCTCAGTGTGGTCTACACTGAAGGACAGTGGTTCTCTCCAGGGTTCCAGAATGGCGACATTTCCAATCCTACTGGAGAGGCCAGAGATCGATTGAAGCAGGGACATTTCATAAGCGAACGAGGTGTTCCAAAGGTGAACTACAGCCCTTTTTAAGGTAATGTGAAATCCAGGGTGCAGGTTACGGCTTGTGCCACTGCAGCCTTTCAAGATCAACCCCTTTTGTCTCGAGTTCACAGGTGTTTGTACAAATGCTTACAGTAGTTTGTTTTGCTTTATTTCTCTCCCACAGGAACACGCACAGCTCCTGCAGTTTTAATAGAATATCCTGTTTCAACTGCAGACAAAAAACGGGACTGAGCCATTGAGTCTCTGTTTTCCCACTTTTACAACAATGATCCTGCCCGTTTGGGAGTGTGGGTGTGTGAGGGAGGTGCTGTGCTTGTACGATTTTGTTTTAAATAGAGGGGGAAATTCCCAAACTTGAGATCGAGTTGTAAGCAGATCTGCATGTTTTTCCCCCCCTCCTGGGTTTGCCAATGTTTTGCATGGCTTCAAAGCCAAACCAGGTTTTCAATACCCCGGTGATCCTATTTCGACACTTGGAGTGTTTACTGTGTAACCTCAAACCTTACAAATTGGTTGGGAACTTGAATTTTCTGGAACAGCGTACAATAAATATTTTGGTCTGAATTTAACCGAGAGCTGGACCACCCAAAGCAGCAAAGAAATGATGCTAAGAAGAAAAAGAAGAAGCGTGAAAAGATGAAAATACAGAAGAGCAATGGTTGTACAAATTGATAGAGCTCACAGAATTAGCAAACATGACAGCCAAAATAAGGAACCGGGACGAGAGGAAGACAAGGGAGTGGGGAGTGGGAATACCCTATAGAATATCTAAAAAGAAATGACATTACAGTAAACCTGCAAGTAGGGGTAAGAAAGGACGGGAATTTTAAAAGGGTGGAGAAATTAATGGAGATGCAGCAAATTAAGGCTTTATTAGAATGCCACTGAAGGTCAGGTTGGGAAATCTGCGCAGAAACAATGTCAGATGAAATATGTATGGTGTAAAATGAAAATTAGAAAATGCATAAAACAGTGGTATTCAGCCAGTTTGCCGTGACACCCTGGGGTGCCTTGAATGATAGGGGTATTGTGGGCAACACTGGCCTCTGTCTCTCCTTCCTTCTTCTGATAGCCTCTCACGTCTCTGCCTCCCAAAAGCTTGCCCAGCTGTTTGTTGCAGCAGCCCTGGCTGCAAGCTCCCCATGCAAATGGTGCCTCTGGGGCTGGCCCAGGGGGTGCTTCCCAGGGCCCTGTGGGGCAGTGTGAGGAGGCACCTCTCTTTGGTGTGGGGTGGGCAGCTGAGAGACAAGGGTCGGCAGCTACAGCTGCCTAGAAGACACCCGCCTAGGACTTTTTCTTGATTTTATTGTTCTATCTTTCTGCAAACAGGGACGCGGGTGGCACTGTGGGTTAAATCACAGAGCCTCGGACTTGCCAATCAGAAGGTTGGCGGTTCGAATCCCCGCGACGGGGTGAGCTCCCATTGCTTGGTCCCTGCTCCTGCCAACCTAGCAGTTTGAAAGCATGTCAAAGTGCAAGTAGATAAATAGGTACTGCTCCAGCGGGAAGGTAAACAGCGTTTCCGTGCACTGCTCTGGTTCGCCAGAAGCGGCTTAGTCATGCTGGCCACATGACCCGGAAGCTGTACGCCGGCTCCCTCGGCCAATAAAGTGAGATGAGCGCCGCAACCCCAGAGTTGGCCACGACTGGACCTAATGGTCAGGGGCTCCTTTACCTTTACCATTAGAAGACTCCCAAGGATAGGGGGCTGAGGGAACACTCCACAAGGGAGGGTGTTCAAAAAAGGATGAGAGGCTACTGGCTTTGCAGGCAAGAGATGACATAACTGGGTTCCTGGGCCCCACAGGGGTGCTGCAGGAAGAATGTAGTTGGTGAAGGGAGTTGTGGACTCAAAAAGGTTGAAAACCTCTGGCATAAAGAAAAAGAACAACCTCACCAGATGTTGCTAGAGTGGAACAAGGCAAATCCAGAAGCAAAGGATCACAAAGTGGTGGCCCAGCTAACTGAACCCTGACAATGCTTCACAACGTCATTGCTGTGGTTATTATTATTTTATTTAATGCATTTGCAGTGGCACCTTGGTTTTCAAACGCAATCCGTTCCGGAAGACCAAGTTCTGAAACATTTGCAAACTGAAAACTCAATAGCCAACAGCTAGGCCTCAGGATCCTGCACTCAGCAGTAGTCGCGTGGCATGTTCGACTTCTGAGGCGTGTTTGAAAACCGAAGCATTTACTTCCGGGTTTATGGCGTTCGAAAACCGAAATGTTCATCAACGGAGACGTTCAAAAACCGAGGTATACTAATACTACTACTATTAATAATAATAATAATAATAATAATAATTTATTTATACCCCTCCCATCTGGCTGGGTTTCCCTGGCTACTCTGGGCAGCTTTCAACACAATATTAAAATACAGTAATGCATCAAACATTAAAAGCTTCCCTAAACAGGGCTGGTGGGAGGGCGTTCCACAGGCGGGTGCCACCACCGAGAAGGCCCTCTGCCTGGTTCCCTGTAACTTGGCTTCTCACAGTGAGGGAACTGCCAGAAGGCCCTCTGCGCTGGACCTCAGTGTCCGGGTAGAATGATGGGGGTGGAGACGCTCCTTCAGGTATACTGGACCGAGGCCGTTTAGGGCTTTAAAGGTCAGCATCAACACTTTGAATTGTGCTCAGAAACGTACTGGGAGCCAATCTAGGTCTTGACCGGTAGCCAAGACCGGTACCACTGAATATCCTGCCTTTCACAGTCTACTTTAAGAGAAGAAACAACCTGGGACACGTTCAGACCGACAGGAAGCACCATGACCCGTATCTCTTGCAAAAAGAAAGAGGTACATCACTTACGTGAACACACTCCTATTTCGTACCTAGGTCTGTCTCTGCTGTAGTCACAGTACAGCCCCCTGTGGACGTCGCAAGTGTCCGCCTCTGTGCAGTTCTCTCCCAACTGCTTGGCACATGTCTTGCAGCACTCACAGCCGTCGGTCATCAGGCTGACGCCCGCCGGGCAGACGGGCGGCATCTCCGGACATTCGCACGGCCACTTACAGTACTGCGTCCGCACGTAAGCCTCGGTCACGGTGGAGGTGGCAGGGGGTGACATGGTAGTCGTGGTCGTGGTGATGTTCTGGGCAAAGACCTGGGTAAGAAAAGAAGGAAAAGCTCAGCAGGGAAACTCAGGAATCCAGTGACAGCTCACTGATGCCTTCTGCTTCACAGATCTACCTGGTGCTGGTACTGAATGGTATGGAGAACATAGAAACCTAGGACTTGTACGGAGTCAGACCGTTGGCCTATCTTGCTCTGTATTGGCCAAACTGACTGACAGCAGCTCTCCACGGTTTCGGCCAGGAGTCTCTCTCAGCTGTACCTGGTGATGCCAGGACTTGAACTCGGGACCTTCTGCTTGCATTGCAGATGATCTGCCACTGAGCTATGGTTCTTCTCTGCCATGTCTTTTCCCCACTGCCCATGACAGCCATTTTGTGTTGGCACCCACGGCACTATTATCAAGGTATTTCAACAAGGGCAGGGAAGGGGAATATTGCAGATACAGTCGTACCTTGGATCCCGAATGCCTTGGTACTCAGACATTTTGGCTCCCAAACGCCGCAAACCCGGAAGTGTGTGTTCCGGTGTGTGGACGTTCTTTGGAACCCGAACATCCGACGGGGCTTCCACAGCTTCTGATTGGCTGCAGGAGCTTCCTGCAGCCAATCAGAAGCTGCACTTTGGTTTCTGAATGCTTTGGAAGTTGGACAAACTTCTGGAACAGATTCCATTCGACTTCCAAAGTACAACTGTATTAATATTGCACAGCTTGAAGTAGCTGAAACGGCTAAAAACTAGCTCTTATTGCCTTAAATACTGACTCTTTATATGCCTAAAAACTGACTCTTATTGGAATAAAAATTATCCAGACCCATAATTCAAAAGTTTCACTCGCACAACTTTATTCAAAGCAGATACAAAATCAAATAATGAATCATCCAAATAGTTGCATACAGTCATATGTTTGTGCAGGCATAGGCTCAACTTCTTAGAAATATTAGATTACTCCCAACAGACCTAGAATCAGAGGTCTGTCTCTCTCCACACAGACTCCATTAGCCTGTTTTCTCTTCAGGAGAGAGACCTCATAAGCACATCCTCTGTTCTCTGCGACTCCCAGCGAAGGACTCAAGGACCAATTCCCCAAGATGGCAATTTGCAACTGAACACCTCTCTCACAAGACCTAAGGTTAAACACCACATGAGAGCTAACAGAGAACACCAACAGTTTATTATCAACCCATCTAGGTGCTTAGAGAGCCCTTCTTCGCTTTAGGATATATATACCCCAATGGAATTTTCCAGTTAAACTTTCAACAACACACATTCAAACACAGAGAGAGTTATTTCCATTTCAAGGTCAACTAAACAACTAAACAATTACGCTTAACAGGAAAGCACTGCTTCTACCCAATATTATGATGCTGAGCAGGACAGATCAATAGCCTGACCCAGTTTAAGGATGCTTCCTATGTTCCAGCCTGAAATTTGGTAGTATTCATCAATTCGGTAGCAACATCAGGATGCAATGCATTGCAATTCATACTTTTGTTTGTTTTCCATGATGGCCTGGAAATTTCATCACTTCGAGATGGGGAAGGGGTGCAATGCCACAATTGTTTGCCGTTGGGTAGATTGCACTGAGCACATTTTCCCCAGGTCGTTGGGCGGTTCCGGAGGGATCAGTCCAAGGCCTGACCTATTTCCTCTGCTTATTCCTGTGAGAAGATTACGCCTGACCTGTGAGTTTGGATAGCTCCCAAGAGGAATAGCTTCTTGCACCTGTCAGGGACCGCAGTGCCTTTCTGCTGAACAATTACCCCAGGAGTGAGTTCTTAGGAGACAGAACTGGAATGGACGTCATTGTAGGAATTGAATATAGCCTGGCATTCTCGCAGGCAATTTTCAATCCCTTCCCCCTATTCATTGGTCTGTCTTGCATGCTAGCTATGGGTTTTGTTCACTGTCCTGGGATCTAAAGTTACTAAAGTGTTCTGCTTTTGCTTTTTCACCCTTAAAAGGTCCGTCCTTTAGTGCCAAAATTAAAGCTTCAATTGCAAAGTTAATTATGTCATTTTCATAGGGACTAGAAAGGACATTTCATTCCCATTGCTTAAGAGACAGGAGTTCCCACAACCACAGCAATGGAATTTGTTGGTTCCCTTTGTTGATAGCATTTAGTTAATAGTTTTCAGGTTCTCTTGAAGCTTTTCATCCAGTCTTCTGAAGACCATAAGTGAATCCAAGGTCACGTAAAACATGCAATTCATTTTGAGCCCCATTGATCACTGAATAATACTTTCAAATAATAGTTCTCCGCTTTTTCTTACTTAAACAAAAGCAAAGTATTCTATCCTTCCTCCAAGGAGCTCATGTGATGTAAGAATGTAACAGGTTATATCCACTTACAACAACCCTGCATGGTAATAATTTACAAATTATTTATAATTCACAAATAATTTATAATTTACTCAGTGTTAAACCACAGAGCATAGGACTTGCCGATCAGAAGCCCCGCGACGGGGTGAGCTCCCGTTGCTTGGTCCCTGCTCCTGCCAACCTAGCAGTTCGGAAGCACATCAAAGTGCAAGTAGATAAACAGGTACCGCTCCAGTGGGAAGGTAAACGGTGTTTCCGTGCGCTGCTCTGGTTTTCCAGAAGCAGCTTAGTCATGCCGGCCACATGACCTGGAAGCTGTCTGAGAACAAACGCCAGCTCCCTTGGTCAGTAAAGCGAGATGAGCACGCAACCCCAGAGTCGGCCACGACTGGACCTAATGGTCAGGAGTTCCTTTACCTTTAAGTATATAGAGGGACCTTAATTAAGAAGAAGCCTGCAACAGAATCATCCCTCAACCACCCCATACGCAGACAAGTAACACTGGGGATGTTGATAACTAGCTATGAGGAAGCTGTGTGTAGATCTTAATTAATAATAATAACCAGCATCCGATCTTGTTCAAGGTATTTTGCTGCCCGAGGTCAGAGGCAGCCCAAGATATTTTGCTGTCTGATGCAAAGGACAAGATGGCAGCCTCTAATTCCTCATAGAAAACCCAACTGGGTTGACAAGGATTCATCCTCCACAAAATCTGAGAATATTAGACTGTGATAGGGGTTGCAGGGCAGGTGAGTTTAGGGGAATAGTAGGGGGAAGCCCCCTATCTCTCAGTATCTGCCAATGGTGGTGGCTGCCCCAACCTGCCTAATGGTAGAGCTGGCAGTGCTTGAGATAACAGAAAAGATGGCGCCCTCCCCAATTCCCTCAACCATTCCTCATCAGGCTTGGTTTCCAGAGCCTTGATAATCTTGCTTGCCTTCTTCTGCGCATGTTCCAGGTTGTCAATATCCTTTTTAAATTGTAGCACCCAGAGCTGGACACAGTATTCCAGGTGTGGTTTCATCAAAGCATGAATAGAGCAGTACTATTACTTCCTTTGATGTGAACACTCTATTTCAGTTGATTAGAAGGAAAGCACAGTTGCCATCTTTTAAAACTGACTCTCTTTTTGTGCCACTAGAAAGGAAGCTACATTTAGCAAATGACCCATTTTTTGTTGCAAAGGGACAAAGCAAAGGGAAAACTTATTTTGTTGTTCCCTATTGTGCAACGCATTGGAATAGGCCAGTTGAAAATAAATGGCAATGATTACCCAGTAGTAAATAGTAGTATGACAAAGAGATGCTTGCTGCAGGCTCCGTTGCCTTTTCTTGCGGCGCCATCTAGTGGTGCAAATATTTTCTGAGCCTGCAATTGCAAGTTTCACTAGTGGTGATGTGTGCAACCCTCCTTTCAGCAATCAAAATTATAATAGAAAAATATGACCACCACCCAACAGCAGCAGCTGCAACCCAAAACAAACAAACAAACAAACAAACAAACAAACAAACAAACAGCATGAACCAGCCAAGCTAAAATCAGAATTACAAAATGTTATACTTCTGGAGGAATAAGACACCGTTCAATGTATCAGGGATGGGGAACCAACAGGTCTCCTGATCTTGTATTCCCAGCTCCCATCACCTTTGCTATAGGCTTGCTCACACATTACACTGAACACAGGAACAAGCTGTCTGGATAAATGCACATGTGTTTGTAACACGGAGCGGCCGCTTGTTGATTTGTACAACTCCGTACAATTTCAAATGCCTGAGAAACAAGTCTAGATCCAGTCGAGAGACCAACTGGTATAAAAGCAGTGCTTTTTTGCAGCCAGAACTCACCAGAACTCAGTTTCAGCACCTCTCAGGTGGGTGCCATTGCCATTATAAGAGAATAAGGGAGGCGTTCGTGGTGAGTTCCGGCACCTCTTTTTCTAGAAAAAAATTGCACTGGATAAAAGAAGGCTTGCAGGGAGAGAAAGGTCTTCAACAGGCACCGAAAAGGCAATAGGTAAAGGTAAAGGGACCCCTGACAGTTAGGTCCAGTCACGGACGACTATGGGGTTGCGGCGCTCATCTCGCTCTATAGGCCGAGGGAGCCGGTGTACAGCTTCCGGGTCATGTGGCCAGCATGACTAAGCCACTTCTGGCGAACCAGAGCAGTGCATGGAAACACCGTTTACCTTCCCACCGGAGTGGTACCTATTTATCTACTTGCACTAGCATGCTTTCAAACTGCTAGGTTGTCAGGAGCTGGGACCGAGTAACGGGAGCTCACCCCATCGTGGGGATTCAAACCGCCGACCTTCTGATTGGCAAGCCCTAGGCTCTGTGGTTAAGACCACAGCACCACCCACATCCTGAAAAGGCAAGAGACTTCCTCATATGTAGTGGCAAGGAGTTCCAAAGTATAGTTGTCACCTAGTGGCTTCCCAGATCCAGCCACCATTGCTGGTTAAGCATAAAGCTGGAGAGATGCTCTGGCAGGAGGGCCCAACCGGATGTCAACATCAGCGCTAAGGAGCTGTGCCAGCTGTACTTGGTGCCTGAAGGTGGCAGATGCTGGCACCAGCGTGGGATATTTAAAGCCCAGTCAAATCAACAATTCATGTTTTGCTAGATAGGCACGCGATAGGAGCCAAATCTCACAGAGTTTTCCTGTAAATTTCTAGAGAGAACTCTGTGAGAGACACTCCCACTGTGCC